TATAAAGCGACACTCCTCGCTTCCACTTTGATATTTTGATATGAAAGCGCTCACTATTGACATTTGACATTTGCATACACTTCTATTGTTAAACTGACATTTTCATTTAATTCAAATTTCTTTGGCATTTGCTTTATGGATTTCGAAATCGTTTCGGTTTTATTGTTAATGTTCGATTGGTTTTTAATGATGAGTAAAAAATAAACCGCAATCAACAACCCACAATGCGGTTAGGTTATCGAAAGTCTTTCAATGGAAATGTTAGAAATTTTACGAAATTCTTATCTAAATTACAAGCATAAAGATTTTTTTATTTTTTTATTTTTTTATTTTATTTCGGCTACGCAGTCAACAACAATGAATCAGTTCTCTTGGTGTGTAGGTAGAAAAATTGTTGACTTAGTTTGAATGATTTTTAATACTATTACAGTAACATTTTTGATAGGTATGCAAATTAATATATTTGATTAATAAAAAGCAAATATACAAATTGATACATATTAATTAAAAAAGCAATTTGATGGCACTTTAAGTTATTAACTTAATATATAGTGGTATTAAAAGCGCTCAAAAATTTAATTCGCTTTAAGCCAGTAAATTTTTTATTTTCTATATTATATTTTTTTTATAACTATTTATATTAAGAAATAATTAACTATTAATCCACTTGCTTTAATCTTTCTAAATTATTAAAAAAAAGCCTACACCTATTTCCTTACAAACAATTAAGCGGTCATTTATAGTTAAACTCTTAGAAATTATGCTTTGGCAAATTGCTAATAGCAAATTAAAATACAAAATACCTAATTATGTTGAAATTGATAGCAATAAATGTAGAAACCACCATACATAACCGATTGAATCCTAAAATTCTGTGAATCGACACATTATTAGCCGTAATTTTTTCTTTCAGAGTTGTGAAAAAACAGCATTAAGTCTGGTTGAAAGAAATTGGCATCACTTTTAAAATATGTTAAATGCTTATTTTAGACATATGTTGTTTGTTGTGTTATGAATAATATAAAATAAAAAAATTGTAAGCAGTAAAAATTAATTAATTCAAAAAAAAAATAAAACGAAATTAATATTAAAACGACAATGGTAAGCATTTTTATTTAATACATACATATATTTATGTATTTGAATTTATTAGTAAATGAAATGCTTATATGATTTTAACGTATTACTGAAATTTTGCTACATATTTCCAGTAAACATTTATAATAGACTAATTTTTTAATTTGGCCACACTGCAACTTAAGACGCAAAATTTTTTGCTAATTAATCCTAACTTTAAAGATTTTAAAAGTATTGTTGTTGCGTCATATGTTTTTTTTCGTAAGTTGTGAGTATTTTTTTGCTACTCTGAAACAAAAATTTAGGCTATTGTAGAATTATTTGATCCATAACAGTATCGCATAGTACTATATAGTGAGTAAACTTCGAATGGCGCCGCATACAAAGCTGGTTCGCCCCTTTGATTACAAAAGGACATATCAGCTCAATAGGTAAAAGTTGAGACTGTTAGTTAGTTACCTAATAGGACATCAGATCATTGCGATCCGGTAATGAAAAATATTTTTACGAAATTTTAATCCGTTTTTTTCAAACACATAGTAATTTTATTAAATAACCAAATCGATTATTCTAATTGGATTATCTTGAATTTAATGGCTTCTTTAATAGCTCTTTGCAACTTTACACAATTATTGACAAACTTTATAAACCCTCCTAAAATAGCATAAGTTCAATATGTATATATGTATGTGTGTATGTAATAATTGCTTTGGCTCACTTCATGATTTTTCAATTCGTAAACCCAAAAATGTGCTGACATAAAGTACTTCCACACAACTTATAAAACTTTAGGAAGTAGACCAACACACCTAATACTTGATTAACAAAAGATTTATTTTTATTGTTTTGCTCACTGAAACGTGTCAACAATATTTGCATAAATTGCAAAAATTATAAAAGCAATTTAATTTACAAGTACTAATATCAACCCTTTCGTTTGTATTATTTAATTATATACGAATTTTTTTTAATAATATTTTAAATTACTATTATTTTTTATATTTTATTTTATTCAATAAATTTTTTTGTATCTACAAGTTGACGCACGACCAAAAGGTATTTCCTTTTGTTTACAAATCAAACCAGTTTTTAAATCTTAACAATAAGCAGAAAAAAAACGACAAAAAGTAAATGTTGCTGACAATTGTCATGCCGTAAAAAATACTTGAACACATTCACACTTCAGAAAAATACAATGCAGAAATACCAGGAATCCAAAATTCGCCATTAGAAATTTTATTTTTACTTTGCTTTTTATATTCCACCTACTTTTCGCATAATACAAATGTCCTGTTTCTTATTTTATTTAACCTAAATAGATTTACTTAAAATATATCTTTCGTTACACCTTATAAAACAAATTTTCTGAAATTTTGATTAGGAAGCAATAATTTTTATTCTCAGCGAGTTGTTCCACAAATATGTTGCAAACAATTCCAGCAACATGTTTCACGTTCCACAAGAGGCTTGTTGTGGAAATCCTGCAAATTAAGGATTTTAAAATCGGATTGCACAATTGCTTTAAAATAATTAATAACTTGTCTTTTAAATATTAATTGCTATTATATATTCTTTGTAATGTGAAAGATGGTAGGGTTCATTTTGATGCATCCAAATACTTATCAATTATATATTTATTCTGCTAAATAAATTTAGAAAAATTAATAGATTAATATTAAAATGCCGAGTTACTATGTGACTGTGACTGTAAATGCTTATTTGAATGAAACGCCAAATTTTTATAAAATATTAGAAAATTATGTGACTTGTACTCTTCTAAACAAAATAGATCGATTAAAAAATTATCTTTTAGATCCTTCTCTAAATAAAATAAATTCTTGTCAAGGTGTCTTACTTCAGCTGCTAACAGAACAAAGACTATATTTATTGCAGAGTCACTCGCCAAAATCGACAGCCCAGCGCCACTTATAAGCCGTATATGGACTATGACAAGAACAACAATGGCTTTTGCTTCACACAAACAGTATTAAAATACTGTTTCAAGTTCCTATAATCCCTATCACAAATATATTTATTTTATATATTGAATATAGCCATAAATAAAAGTGTAATAAAGATTATTAAATATAATTTTAAAAGAATTATTTGAACATCTGTCGTTTTAAACAACACTTACAATTGGTCGGCAACCTTTCCGTGACCATATGCAACGGACAAATATATTGAGTATAATTAATATACCAAAATCTAAATAATATAGATATAAATATATATAGTATATATAATTAAATTTATATAATATATATATATATATATATATATAATTATATATATATATTATATAATAAATATATATGGTATATATATACTAATATATATATACATAGTTTTGGCGTGTGTAGTTTTTTGTTTGTGTAAGCTATTTACACAAGTTTAAATCTCGGAATCTCGGAAATAAATCGGCGTACATTGTAGTGAAGTTATTAAATTGTTATATCCTCTAAATTGCAATCGTGCTATATATGTTATATTTCACTATATATAATTAAAAAAAATATATATTTATACACTTAAGTATTTTAAACATTATTATTTTATACATTGATTTTTATCACACTCTAAATTAATTCTTCAATTTGAAAGTTCTGAAAAACACTAAAAATAATCGATTCATAATTAATCTCATTTTTTAATTATTTTAAAATTTAAAGATATTTTTAGAATATAATATGAAAAAAATCTATTTATATACTTCCATCAATCAACTAAAAATGCATATATTTTATTTTTGTAATTTTTCGTTATAATTCATAATATATTTCATAAACAAAACAAAAGCCAAAAATGCTAAAAATTGATTTGAATATAAGTCCAAGTTTTTTTACAATATTAAATTTATATTTGTTATCTTTGACTTGCACGCCTTAATTTTTTCATATATAAATATTTTTAAATATTTAAGTTATATATGACTTTCACATGATTTCTTTCGAAGATTTCTATCTTTTTCGATTATATTTTATAAAAAATATATTTTAAATGCTATTTATACTATTTTATACAGAAAATAAAATTTTTGACTCTGTTTTACTAAATTTATTGGTTAATTAATTGAAAAAAAATATAAAATAATCAATCATAACGCTTAAATCAGCTTAATACCTTAAAAAACATCATTAAAATGTATATAAACATTTCATATCAGAAAACTGAGCAACAAATGTTTATAAGCACAATATCGTGTTTAAAAGACACAAAACACAAATCGCATCAACAAAGATACTCGTTAACATTGTTTTTACCCTCAACAGATTAGTTCCATGAAATACTTGCTGCGTTGTGGTATGTTTTGTGAGCGAAGCGCTTAAATCGCGGTATTTTTCAACTGAAAATAAAAGAGATACTTTGTACGACAAAGTTTCGTGTGTGTTGTGTTTTGTGTTTTGTTTTTGTGAAACGGCATTAAAATACGAATTAGTTCAGCAGTTTTTGGCAATTTCTTTTATTTTTATAAATGAATTGTATTTAGACGTATTTTTTGTTTTTGTGAGTTGCTCTTCAAGCTAAACTTGATTTCAAGCTGAATTTGCAAAAAATAAATATAAAAAAAATTGTTTTAACAAAAAAAGTAGTAACAATAAACACAAAACAAAAAGGTACAAGTTGATAGCCATATTTCCGACATAAGAAATCTTAAATATTTTAAATATTTTTAAAAAAATATTGTAAACACATTTGAGAAGAGTGTTAAGCTGAAAATATAAATTAATTAAATAATTTTTAAGAAACCGAAAATACAGTTTTTTTTTTGGCAACATATATTAAAATTCATATATCAATCAGATGTAATATTATTCAATAATATTAAACAAATATATTGTCCTGGATTAAATATATTTGTATAATTTAAATAATATTTAAAAAAATTATAACCCAGAATAAAAATTAATAAACAACAATACATTATGTATTTTCACAAGTAAATTAAAATTAATTTATTTAAACGAATTTTGGAAAGTTTGATACTATAAACTTAATTTAATTGCACTGAAAATAAAAGATGTTGGATAAAACAAGCAGCTATTGTCCAATGGACTATGATGTACCCATAACAAGACCAATAAGGATTAAACAGGTTAGTGATGTCAACAGCGAAGTATTTTTACGGATATGTTTTTCACAAATTTTAAGACACCTTGGACTTATTTCTTCAGTTTATTAATAATATTCTGGCCTTCATGAGTTTTGCTACTCTACTCTTTAACTGTTAATTAAAATTAATAATAACATTTTCTGAGCTAATTGACTCGTTCACTGGGCTTAAGTATTTCGCTTGGTTTCAGCGAGTGCAACTGTCTTTAGTAGCTTTCATAAACTGTGTATATTATGCGAATCGAGATTAAAGTCAAGATTAAGCCATTGGCAACGTAATATTGACATGTGACACCATCGCTTTTCAGACTTTTATTTTTAATAGGCGCTTGCATACATAACATATATACATTCAGACACTGCAAATGCGACCAAGCAACTGTCTGTTCACGCTGGTGGCTGAAGCCTTTAAGAAGCTGTTTCTCTTGCATTGGGTAAATTGCATTTTTTAAATCGACGCTTTGTCACCAAGTTTTTTATAGTCTTTAAGGTATTGTCGTTATTGCCTTTAGTTTGATTATAAATTGATAATGGAACTGCATTAAAACGGCAATTTTTAAATGTCGCACTTACCAAATTGGGTAGCTAAAAGATAATTTTTTTTTAATATTACATACGTAAGAAAAAAAAATTTATGTTATATAATAATCCCATAAATATCAAAATTGTATTCTATTTGTATGTTGTAACCGTAGAGTCAATAAGAAATGACAACTTTATGCGGTCATCGTATGAAATAAATTTTAAAGTTTACTGCAAAAAAATCGTGAATGCACCCATAAGAGAATTTTGCAATGATGAAATAATGTTTAAATATAATTAATTTTTATGCAATTTAATGAATTTTATTCAATTTAATAAAAATTTTCTTTATTTATTAATAAGAACTTAATTTTAAACATAACTCTTGACTTTTAAATAAAAAATTTTATTAATATAAATTTTTTGTTGAATAAAACACAATACTATATCTTTTTCCAATAGTTTTTTTTTATATAAATTATAAAAATTCCCTTTTTTATTAAATTTTTTTCTAAAATTATTAGCTATAAAAATTCATATTAAAGCAATAGATATTTTAGTTTTTCGATATAAAATATAATTAGTTTCTCTATATAAGATATAAATAAAATAAGATAATAAGATATGATGAAAAAAAAACAAAAACATGATAAAAGATAAAATATGATAGATTTTATCAACGTTTTTTAACACATTAAATTTTTAGACAATGAGAACCCATATTCGTAATTCGGAGTTCGGATAATTTAATGTGGATTTTGTTTTTCAAAATTATTGACTAAAATCAAATTATACGTAAAAATTAACCGAAGTTACTAAATTACCAACGATTTTTGTCTGAATACTCTTATCTAATATCTATGTACATGATCGGTTTCCTTTTCTCATCTAATATCTTGATATGTATGTACATGAGATTGATTCCCCTTCCTTACAATCTAAAATTTTTTAATATAAAATTTGAACTTGCTTGATGTTAATGCTCCTTCTGGTGTTCATTTTTATAAAATTAACATACCATACAATATAGTATGTAATATATCAGTATATAACTCATTTTCTTATCAAATTTCATATAATTGTTAACCAAATATCTTATTTTAACCAATAATTAAAATTATCATATTTAAAAAAAAAAATAAGTTTTGAAAACCACGTTGGCAGTGCAAACATTATGATTCAGTCAACTTTTATATAGAATACAACTTAACAATAATTTATATTGTTCAATTTCACCTTCAGAAATCCCTTAACAACAGTTGTAGTGACTCACATATATAAATAATTTTTTTTTTAATTATCAACTGTTAATTTGTAGACTGTCAAGCAATTTGTACAAGTTAAAAAATAAAAGAAACAGCTGAACAGATGTATTTTTTAATAAATTCTCTCTAACATATATAATAAGTCAAGTTATAAATAATAGTTTTTGCATAATTTGTAAAAAAAGATGATTAAATTAAAAAAAATTAAGCTTTTTCTGTTGTTTTTACACTACTCAGGAATTTATTATTGAGAATTTTATATTTTACAATTCAATAGTACTATCAAATATACTAACAATTTTGACAAATATATAGCAATAAACATCAATTTATATATAAAACTAATTCGAAATGTATACAAATTCATTAAAATTTTTATACACTTTTTTTGTTGAACAAAAAAAAAAAGAGAATTATAGTTTTCATTTAATCAAGAAACATTTTACTTTCTAATATTTTTAAACTAGAATAATAAATACAATTATTTATAGTAATATGTTATATAAGAATACAAGGATATTTTGCATTTTGAACACTTTTTTTAACTTATATTTTCCAAATTATTGCAGTAAACGAAACGTTTTAATTTATTTTCTTTCATCTTAACTTCATATGATATGCTCAATGCAAAATTAAAAATTGAAAAAAAATATGCAACAACATTGATGTTGTTTTGTGTACTATATAGTAGGTGTTTTGTAAATAATAAACTATCCGTTGCAAATAATTTATTAATTATAGAAATGTTCTAAGTTATATACTTATATTTATGTGAAGAGTAATAAACGCATTTTTAATATTAAGTATATTATAGCAATCTTTTAATGAAATAGATATAAAATGACAATTATTTGAGTTACAGATATTTATCTTCTTTTACCAATGCAATATATTATTGTCAACCTTTAAGTGATTATAGAAAATATATTTATAACAATATTTTAGAATTAAATAAAAAATAACAAGGGTCTGAGCTTCTAGGTGAAAGTAAATTCAATATTTCAAATAAAGTCCAAAATGCATATACATAGTTAAAAATTTCTAAATAACAGATAGGAATAGAAGTTCTTGACTTAGTATTTTTCTTCTAATTCTAGATCACCCTTAAAGAATGTCACAATTTTTTTTGTTCCAAAACTTTAAACAATAAAGAATATTACATACTATTAAAGAATATTAAAGTCCAACAATTAAGTTTAGTTTGCCATATCATAACAACACTAGGACTTATATGACTCCTAACACCTTTTGTGGTCGCAAGATTATCTTTTGTTAATTTATTAAAAATCGTTTCATCTAATGTTAAAGCTTTCTCAAAAATTTGTTACTAATCTGCTATACTACGTAATACTAACTTATTTAAATTACAGTATTTTTCCTATACTTATATATTTCATATAATTCCTACTTCAGTTTTAAATTTTTAAAATGAAAACAGTCTATTTTCTATTACATATTTTGTATTTCTGAATAAGAGCAATAAATAGATAATTAATAATTAATTGCTAATTACATGATTAAATAGCAATTAACATACTTACAATTATCTACATTCTTGTAAAAAACTGTAATTAGTTCTAAAGAAACTTGTACTTGATATACTTAATATATGTAAGGTATGTACACATATTTAATTAGTGCTGAGATAAACCCAAACATTTGTTTAAATACTATTAAAATCGTATAACGCAAATAAGTCTCGATTAGTTACACTTCATATCAGCCGATACTCATGGTCATAACAGAGAAAAATTTGTGTACTACTCACGTCTGAGTAAGACTTTTATACCCATACATTTAACCGATAAACACGGAGTTTCAATTACACAATTCTCGTTTTAAGCTAACAGCTGCTGACACTAAGTACGCCATAATTAAAGGTAACAGCGACAGCAACAACTACAATAACAACTACAATGACAGTAATAATCATAGCAAATAAATTGTATCTAGTGATTTTGTATCGAATTGATATACACATATGCATACAAACATGCATACAAACAATGTCTGTAATCGTAAATTATTGTATCGCTATTTTTATACTATACGATCGATTGCTGGAATTGCAGCTGCTGCTGCTACTGATGCTGTTGCTGTTGCTGATGCTGATGCTGCTGGTGTAGCGAAAAAGATTTCTGGATGTGCGATATAATATTTGCAAGATACTGAAACTTACAAATCAACAAAGCACGTACAATTCAGTGATGGCTAAGAAAAACACAAATAATAATAATAAAACTTACTAAACAAAGTGAGATTTAAATGAATTTGCTCCAAATGTACAATTTGCAAGAAAAGTAATTGATGCCGCTCGCTAATATTGCTGCTGCTGCTGCTGCCGCTTATGGCTCAGTCATTTTCAGTTGGAATTAAAGATTATTTTTAAGCGAGCGCATTTCGTATGTATCATCTATGCATCCAACTGACCAACAAGTAAGACCGTTCATCTGTCAGTACGCAGATACGTTGCTATCAGTGTTGGCTTAGTTTCAGTTTTGATCTGTTGCTCTGTTTATGTATATGTTTATGTATCTGTCGGGTTTGCTTGATTTTGCACAAAGTGTATTAGCATGTTTGAACATTGATTTTACGACTTGACTTGTCTTGAAAGACTTTAAATATAGCTTAAGTGACCGACAGAATAACTGAATGACGGACAGATTGACAGACCAGCCAGCAACTTGCTGTAATTAATACACTTGTGCAAATTATAAGAATTCAACACAGTTTACTGGCATTGCTGATTGCCATAAATGGACGTTTATTTTAATTTTGCATGCCAGATACTTTTTATGAATTTCTTTTAAGATGTTAACTATTTTTCATTTTTTTTTTTTGTTTTATGCTAAAAAGAATCTTTTACATATTTTTTGATTAACTGTTTTTTAGCGCAACTAATTTTTTGTGTTCGCAAATCTTTTGGTTTGAAGAATTGTCAGTATAATTGATGGTTTGAACTATAAACTAAAAACGCATTATTAACAGCTTTCTCAAATTGAATATAATACAATATGTTATATGCTCACTATATATTATGTTATATAAAATATAAATCTATTAACAAAATATGTATAAATAAAATAAGAAACTTAATAATAATAATACGTGCTTGTAAGCATGTCTATAAAAAAATATTTTCTATTACAATGCAAGAAAATTTTAAGTAACAAACCCCGAAACAAGCACATATTCT